CCCGCCCAGCCCCCGGGACCCCGCGGCCCCGGCTCCGCCCCGCCTCGAGGTCTCCCCGGGCAAGGCAGAGCCCAGGACCGCGCTGCTGGCCGCTGAGAGCTGGACCCTGCCGCGTCCGCGCGGGTTAGACCCTGCCCCTCTCCGCCTCGGTTTCCTCATCTGTAAAAAGGGGTAACTACCCCCGTGGTACTGCTTTCGTGCAGCCCAGTGAGGTAACACCTGCGGGGTGCTGAGAATAACAGTGGGTGCTCAGACGTCAGTTAACAGCATCGGTCCTGTTCCGACTTCCCAACAACTTCATGACGTGAAATAAGCACTGTGTCTTCTTCTTCCCATTTTACCAATGAAAATATGATGCTCGGGAAAGTCGAGTGCCTCGCTTGAGCTCACACAGCTGATACGTGGTAGAGCTGAGGCCAATCCTGGTCTGACGCTCCACAGCAGCGGTCCCCAACCTTTGTGGCACCAGGGACTGTGCTCCTATGAGCATCTAACACCTGATGATCTGAGGCGGAGCCGAGGCGGTGATGCTGGCGCTGGGGGGCGGCTGCAGAGACAGATGAAGCTTTGCTTGCTGCTGCTCACCTCCTGCTGTGCGGCCTGGTTCCTAAATGAAGCTTTGCTCGCTGCTGCTCACCTCCTGCTGTGCGGACCGGTTCCTAATAGGCCATGAACTGGTACCCGTCTGTGGTCTGGGGGGTGGGGACCCCTGCTCCACAGCTTTTAGGCCACAAGATATCTTCATATACATGCTTAGCTTCCCTGGGGGCTTTTTGTCATTTATTTACTTTTATACGCATTTTCTGCATACATTCAGTAAATGTTTACTCCAGATTCCGTGCAGAATGCTGGATATGCCCAGGTTTACTAAGAGTCAGACCCTGCCCTCAAAGAGATTACATTCAGGGCTGGGCAGAGGGGAGGTGACAAGAGTCTGTGGCGTTAGTCATTAGTGCCAGTTTGCCGACCTTGCTCCTTCTTACTTCTTCCTAGCACATGGCAGGATTGTACTTCCTGGCTCCCTGTGGTAGGGTGGGACCATGTGACAACTGCTGGTCAATGAGTTGTGAGTTGAAGTGCTGTGTGTGTGTGTGTGTGTGTGTGAGAGAGAGAGAGAGAGAGAGAGAGAGAGAGAGAGAGAGAGAGGTCCCAGGCAAGTGCAC